TCCTCTCCACGATCTATATACCCATGTCTTTCCCTTCTGCCCTCTTTCTCCGTCGCCCCCAGCCTCCTCCCAGCTACCATAATGCACGCCTGCGTCCCCACTCTCATTTCCTCCTCGACACCGCTCTTCCTCCGTTCAACGCTCAGCATCGACCCTATCCTTACACCGACCACCTACTCCTTCAGCACTTTTCTCTCCTCCATATCCGAGCTCTTCATCCGCCTTCCTCTCGAGACCGTCCTTCGCCGCGGCCAGGTCGCCGCACTCCAGGATCACGAAACCCAGCGTCTGGCGTCTGAGTACCAGGCCCCACCCAGCCGTGCTAAGAGCCCAGCCTATGGTCTGGACAAACCAAGCTCCTCTGACCAGAGCTTCAAGACTATCGTGGAGCCGGGTCAGTACAGGGGTGTGCTGGGTACTATGTGGTTCATCGCCCGTGAAGAAGGCATCAGTGTTTCTACACCGAATGCTGCTAAGGCGGCGAGTGCAAAGGCGATGGGTTTCTCTAGGCCGCCGCGTACAAGGAAGGGTCAGGGTATGCATGGGTTGTGGCGTGGATGGAGAGTGGGTGTTTGGGGGCTGGTGGGGATTTGGGGTGCTGCTGCTCTTGGAGGTGGCGGTGGTGAGTTCTAGACTGTGATATTGCAAGTTAAGCACTAGGCACTTGAGCGATGATATTGTTTGGTAGATTGTGTTGTTTTGTCATGATGTTCGTATGCGCATGTTGGGCGATGCTATATACACCACTCTTAGCTGATGTTGAACGAATATCTTCCGTTCACCAAACTTGTCGTTTGAATCATTTTCAAATTTTTGCAGCATATGATCTAGATCCTCCCACCATGCTATGGCTGTGTAGCCCAACCAGATAGAGTGGTATGTTGCAGGTGGGTTTTCTTTTTCTAAAAACTAACAACGGTATCTGGAAGTGGAAAGTCCGACAGCGCACAGCGTGCCAATTCACAAAAGCGGGTCGACTGCACCACGTAAATGTCACAAATGCAACACAAAGCTGTTAAATATCCTCTCACAGAGACATGCTATCATTGCGTAGCAGTAAAGCCCAGCACGTAGAGGAGTGCCCAGAACCCCGATGGTATTGCTTGTCTTAACAGGTCTAGCCTAAAGGAGTCTAGCGGCTCCCTTACATGGAAGTGACGTGCCACCTCACTTCTTATCAGCCACCACCACGTGTTGATTGTGAGCGTCAGCTTCGGTTGGCTCTTCAACTTTGGTACACCTCAGACATCGAAGCTAGAGAAAAACTCGACACGTAGAGCCCCGTCATTCATACACACATCAAAGCTATCGCAATCATAGCGTATACCAAAGTACCATCTCAATGACCTCCCTGGAGGACCAGACCGTAGTCTGAGTCAAAGGCGCACTCGATTCATCATTCATACATACACGCCTGGGAAAATTCACCAACATGGCAAATCCCTCTTCGCTTTCAATCCACCCAGCCGACAATGATCAACTCTCAACTATGGTCTCACAGGTTAACTTGAGCGGCAATACAGTCAGAGTCGCACATAGCGCCGCTGTCACAGAGATGAGATTTTTGGAAAGAAATCTACCGATTCGCCCCATGAGTATTCAGTCAGCAAGTCGCTTGCTCTCACTGCCCTCATAAATACGCCTGTTGACATGCCATCACATGCATATCTCGCCCGAGCTTGGTATCGAGTTCATTGCGGCATTCTTCAGCCGTAGGCAGCTGCAGAAAAATATGTTGGACGAACTTAGTCCTGCCTTCGATCTCGACAACTACGTCAACGAGCATGCAGAACCCTGTCGCCACGAGCCAAGATGTTTGTCTGTGTGGTACCATCCACGCCTCGATCTCACATCTTACGGCGTGTGACAGTATTTGCACAAGTACTGCGCACGGATCGAGGATCTCGCTGTTGCTATAACTCAGTCGCTGGGCTTTTCCCTCTATATCTGAACGAACTCAATGTGAGACTAGCTCCTCACGACCATGCAGATGACTACGACGAAGAGTTTCTTTACGGCGACATGAAGTCAAGGCCGAATCGCCTTTTTCTTGATTATGTAGTGGAAGGCAAAGTGAACTCCAAAAACATGAAGTTCAGCCTTCCTGGTCTACAGAAAGAGGATGATGGAAGAGATAAGACAACGCGCCCCGAAAATATCATCATACCAGGCACAGAAATCTTGTACGGCATGCATATTACGGAGGATAGGGCGGGTGCCCAGACTGAGAGAACATCCCTGAGTGACGTGCGGTTCCGCCCAACGACAGAGGGATCAGGGGGCGCAGTGGCCACGCGCTGAACGGCATGGATTCCAGGAGTTCCATCAATGAGAATATCGGATACAACGAAAGCGAGGCGCTCGCGTTCGGCTCACTACCCGAGCGTGCTGGTCGAACCCGAGGAAAAGAGACCCAGCCAAACGGAGTGTTTCCTTGTGAAATGACATGAACTGGGTTACATGTCACAACTAGCTGTTCCTTGAACAGCCCCACTCCGTTCCCTTCTCTTGCTAGATGAAACCCATTGCAGTGAAATTTTCTGCCTTATCGCGTATCTAACGTATCGAACACTCATGCACCGCAGATTGTGTACCACACCTGGGCAACACAAGGAAACGCTATCCGGACGTTGCAATCAAATTTCCGGTTTGTCACGCCACAAGAGACTTCAAGAGTTCTCACAGAATCTCACATACCTTGGCACCTGTCAGCGGGTCAATCGCGGTCACTCTCTGAACGATCTGATATCGTTTGCGCGCAACTCCCGACGTCCATAATCCGCTCCACTAGCGGGTCCGACATGCTGGCAACGACGGCGGTCGCGCAAACTTTCCACACGGCATGCTAGGCATCGGCATCGGGTGGAGCTGGTGTTGACAGACAGCGGCCCGTACGTTACGAAGTATAACCACCGGCACTCAACTCCTGGTCCGTGCACGCAACCACCGAATCACAGCCATGGAAGTCCTCTTTCTAACACTCTTCTGGACGAAATGGGCGTCAAGTGTTTCTAAACGAAACGGCGCTACGCCTGTCAAGCATTCCACACAGGAGACCAGTGTTTCGCCACATCGCGGACTGCAATGAAGTGTCAGTAAACGACCTTGGCAGGACCCGTAGAAATCACATCCGCATTGACTTTACTTTCCGAACCAGTAGCTTCCGTGCCTCCTTTCAATGAGTCGCATGTTTTCACAAGCGCTGCTACGCTTAGAACGGCCTAAGGATCACGGTCATGTCCACTTCCCAAGCGATCCAGAACACCCACAATCACGGAAGGAAGACTGTAGTTGTCGATGAAACCAACATCCTATCTCCTGGAATTGCTACAACGGGAAATTGTCGTCCGTTGGGAACCAGGTCACCGGTGTCTAGGCGCCTGGCTTGCATGAAGATGTTTGGTACAATGCGTGGAGGACTTTTGATATAAGAATCAGGACGACTGTCCAACATCTACAGCTCACCAGCAAGCAATACATTCGTTTCAATCGCTTTCTACACTCGCTTTTCAGCACTTTACATTCGTTCCTTCACTTCTTTTTACCAGTTACTACACAAGTTTCATTACTGCTAGCCAGAATGAAGTTCTCCGCCTCCGCCATCGTTCTCAGCGCCGTCGCCCAAGTGGCCACCGCCCACTACTTCTTTGACACCAACCTCATCGGTGGTGTTGCCCAGCCGCAATTCAAATACGTCCGCCCTTCCACTCGCAAGGTCGCGTACAACCCCATCAAGTTCTCCTCCAACCCGGCCGCCGACATCCGTGATGGCTCCACCGCCGACGGTCCCGACATCGTCTGCAACCAGGGTGCCGCTAAGACTGGCGGCAAGGTCCAGGTCCTGACCGTCAAGGCCGGCGACGACGTTACCGCCAAGCTCGGTGTTGGTGCCAAGTTCCAGCACCCGGGCCCTGCCCTGGTCTACATGTCCGCTGCTCCCGGCAGCGTCCAGTCTTACGACGGATCTGGTGACTGGTTCAAGATCTTCGATGAGGGTGACTGCGGCAGCGGTGACTTCACCAGCAACTCCTGGTGCACCTACAACAAGGACACTGTCACTGCCACCATCCCCAAGGACACCCCCGACGGCGAGTACCTCGTCCGCTTCGAGCACATTGGTGTTCACCGCTCCCACGTCAACCAGCCCGAGCACTACGTCTCCTGCATGCAGGTCAAGGTTACCGGCGGTGGTAGCGGCAAGCCTGGCCCCATGGTCAAGTTCCCCGGTGCTTACAAGGCGACCGACCCCTACGCCAACTTCAGCATCTACAACGGCCGCAAGGCCTTCCCCATGCCCGGCCCTGCTGTCTGGAAGGGCGGTGCTGCCGCTGGTGGCTCTTCCTCTGCTCCCGCCAAGGAGGAGGTCTCCCCTGCCCCTGCCGCCCCCGCTGCCCCTGCTAAGTCCACCATGGCCACTGTCGTCGCTCCCGCCCCTGCTGCCCCTACCAAGGAGGCTGCCCCCGCTGCTGGCTGCGCCTCCATGTACGGACAGTGCGGTGGCAAGGGCTTCACCGGTGCTAAGTGCTGCGCCAAGGGTAGCTGCAAGGCTGCCAACGACTGGTACTCCCAGTGTGTCTAAGAAGCTAGCTCGTGTGCTAGGATTTACTCGGAGATTTGTGTATACTTCCCATTCTTTGTGTCTATAAGCGAGGCGTTGCATTAGTGAGCCTCTGTTTTTTAATGGGCACGGGTTCTCTAGTAGAACACCCCTTTAACTTTCTGTTTGCCTGGTGGATGTGGTTCAATCCTGTATTATAGCAATATCACATCATTAGTCCTATTCCTGAATCCTCTTCGCATGTGACTGTTCCTTATTAGCATGACTCAAAGTACAGAAGACTGATATCTTAAAAGTGCGTAAATCCCTGCCATTCATGTTGTCTTTGACAAAAGAAAGAATCGTCTTTACAGTAGGCTGAGCGAAACTTTGAATGATCAACCCATCCACCAACGTCACTATTCAGATCTCTATTGATCGATAACCAATTCATCCACAAATATCATGCGCCGGGGACTTGCCCGTAGTGTATTGTCTCATTCCACTCAACGAGGCTCTTGGGAAGAGCATGCGCATCCTCGATGTGGTCCACTATTTCCTCGTACACATCGGGTGGCAGTCGCCGGCCAAAAGCCAGATTGAGATTCCGTCGATATTCTCGCCGCAAATCTCGCGATACGAGTGGTAACATGGTGTCGATAAGAGATGCGAGTTGAGCAAGGGTATTTGTGCCTATCACAATATGTCAGCTTATTGCATAAGACCATGTCATACATAGGACGTCTTACTTTCTGATTCAGCGCAGCCGAAATAATCCAGATAAAGGAATGCCTGGGCAAAGTCCAGTGGAAGTTCTGGGTACAAATTGTCGCGCTCTTGACCGATCTGATCGAAGAGGAACGCTTCTATCTCGTCAAGAGGCAGTAAATTTGCGAACAGGTTCAATCGCCTTGTTCCCAGGACGTCCATGCGCAGCTTGAGAGCAAGCGAAAACGCTCTGACACGGCCACGCGGAATTTCCGACATTCGCTGCAGCTCGAGAAATATGCGTGATGCAAAACGCGTTATGGGGATCTCCATATCTGCCCTCAGCGTATAACCTATGTACCATATCTTGTTGGGATAGTCAGAATCCACTGAGGATACAGTGTCCGAATCGCTGACTTCAGATGTAGGGGCCCAGTCGTCTCCGAAATGGGTATCGATGATGTCCGAAGCAGAGCCCAGGTTATGATTGGGATGGCGAAAGAGTCGGTTCATGGCATCGACCCAGAACTGCGTCGCTATCTCATCTTCGGTCTCCACGGTGGAAACGAGATCATGAAACAGGCTGACCCTTACACCGACACTGGCGAACAGGAGTTGAGACTCTAGGTAAAGAGCCCAGCTTTCGACTTGGAGTGCGGTCCAATGAGATACCGGTACATCTTCCTCCAATGGGTTCTCTAACCACCATGATAAGCACACATGCCACCATGTTCAAAGATGCATACCATCCAACATACCTGGGTTCGTTAGAGGTGAATCAGCCTCCCAATATCGCTCTCTGGCAACGTTCCGGACTTTGCCGGAAGCTCCACCTTCGGTCTCGAGCTCTCTAGAGAATTGCTCCAGCTTAAGCACCAGCCTGTGTATCATGTTCCGTAACCTGACAATGGGAGGAAGTTCTTTCCATGCTTGATCTTTGCGGAGGGACTTCCACTCCACAAGGAGGTGCGACTTGTCGCTCGTGTCTCCAAGCTCTTCACACACCCACACGAGATCTTTTAGTGTGCGTTTCTTTCGCACTCTTGGCGCCTGGCTTTTAGAATCGCGTCCTTTGCCTTTACCGTTATGTTTACTAGACCACTCGGTAGCTTGGGCTGAAACAGACCCAGTGGGAGTAGTGCTAGACGATTCGGCGATTTGAGCTGGAGCAGACGCTGTAGTAGTAATACCACCCACGCCGACGAGACGTGCCCGATTGGTTTGCTCGAGTGCCGATAGTGCAGCGGAGAAAGCATAGAGTCTCCCGGTACCCGATGGTGCGTTCCCAGATGAGCTGGCTTGCATCGTAATCGCGAAGCGGTTAAGATATTATGAGTGTATAAGGTGTGTTGAGCTGCGCGTGCGAATCTCAAACGAAAGCTCAAATTTGAGAGAAGATAGAGATCAAAGATCGTAGAGAGTAATCGCAAACATCGTGGACAAGGCCGTCTTAAGACCGACATGTCGGATACGATTACTGTGCCGCAGTGCTGAATGTATGCTAGGCTACAATAGGCAATCCCTTGTTGCCCAACCCCGGTCCCCGCGGATGTCGACATGCGATTAGGTGGCTACCAATTGAGCTTCATACCACGGCAGACTTCATCTGATGGTGTTTTGATTGTGAAGTGATAACGTGAGAAACCATTACTTAGGGAGGCGCGCCGGAGGATACCTAGGTAGCCTTGCTAGGTGCATACAGTCTATCTAACTAAGGGCGCGCTAAGACATAGCATGCGCTAATGCAAATAAGTAATTTTTAAAATATAGTATACTAGCGTTATACTACTTAAGAAAATTAGTATACTTAGTAATAAAATTTTTAATTTAAATAATTCTTAGATTTATTCTAAATTAATTTAGACTAAATTATACCTATATTATAATATAGAGCCTTTTTTACCTATATTTAATACTAAGCTTAAATTTTTTAACTTTAATATATTAGACTTAGATATCTATAAAAGATTTAACCTATATTTATCTAGCTCTAGTAAGAGTAATAATAGTAGTATTAAAGACTAAGTTAAGATATATAGTTAAATTAATTCTAGAATAATTCTAGACTTATTTAAACTAGAGTATAGTTTAACTTACTTCTAGAAATAGTAGCGCACCTCTTTTAAAGGCTAAAGTTATTAAGTATACTATATATCTACTCTAATACTTTAGTATAGACTCTAAAGGCTATACTTATATTATTTAAGTTTTAAAAGTAAATAAGTAATATTCTTTAGTTAAGAGAGTATTATAAAATACTAAAAGTGTAAGTAGCCTACGTAGACTATTTCTAGATTAATTTAAAACTAATCTAGTATAAGTAGTTTTAATACTATAAAGCTAGTAAGATAAAGAAAAAAAAGACTTTTAGCTTCTTCTTAAATTTAACTACCTTAAGATAGGTTTTTAAGTACTCTAGTATTAAGATATATAAATATATTTAGAATTAATTATAGAATTTTACCTACTTATAAGTAGATAAAAGCTTATATAAAATACTTAGATAGATAAAAATATCTATAAACTAAATTAAGTAAAATAAAAAGAGAAGAAAGGCTAAAAGCTACTTTAATAGGCTTTAGTGTTAGTTTAGAGATAGTATTTATACTAATAGAGAGAGTTTCTATAGTCTAGAGTTATTCTAGGTAGAATTAATAGTATATATAGTTAAACTATTTCTAGAATAATTTCTAACTAATTCTAGTAAGTAATAGAGCCTACCTCTTAGTTTATTACCTATAGTAATTACGCTCTAAGTAATATAGAGTACTATATCTAAAGAGTACTACTAAGAATTAATATTACCTACCTATAAGCTTTTCTAGATAGTAGAGTAGAGAGCTTTTATAAGAACTATAATATAGTTAAGCTCTAAATTTTACGTCTAAAAGACTATAGTAAGTTTTTAAAGAATATTTTTAGATTAATTCTAAACTATTTTAAGTACTAACTATACCTAGAGTTAAGATAAACTTATTCTATAAGACTATAATATAGTAATTAATATTATTATCTCTCTATATTTTAAGTAGATTCTATACTTTGTAGTAGTTTTAACTAGTATATACTAGTATATACTTTTTCTACCTTAGTAGCTAGATATAGAATTAGTTAAGAATATAGTTTATATATTCTAATTAATATTAATACTAAATACTATAAAATATAAGCTATTTTATAGATATTAATTCTAAATTATTTCTAAACTATTCTAGCTACCTTTTTATAGTCTAACTAGTTTACTTTCTACTTAAAGTAGCGTAGAGTTTTATTAATTAAAAAACTTTATACTACTTAGATAAATAAAGACTACCTTATAAGAATAGCTACTACTTAAAGATTAATTATATTTTCTCTAGGCGCTAGCCTAGAGAGAGTTTTTTTTAAAAGAAGAGTAAACTATTCTAACTCTACTACTATAAGCGCTATCTAAAATATTTTCTAAATATTTCTAAATTAATCTACGTAGGTATATATCTACTAAATCTTACTAGCTAGTAGAGGCTATATTATTATCTAAGTATAGAATAAGTAAGCTAAACTACTTATAAAATAAGAAACCTTCTAGATAGATATATCTTTTAAGCGCTACTATAATAGTTAGAAAGAAATTCTTTTTACTACTATGCTAAAAAGCTATAAAAAGAGTATATAAATTACTTTTAAATTAATCTATAACTAATCTACGTAGTTATTATATTTAGGCGCCTTACTACTAACGCTAAGTTCTCTAAGATATACTAAAAGATATTTACTACCTTCTTCTAAACTATTAAGAAGCGTTTAGGTTAGCTAGTATAATAGTAGTATCTCTACGCACGTAGTTTCTATAGTATTACTATTAATATAAATACTAAGTAGATAGCTAGTAAGTTAAATTAATTTATAATTAATCTACGCTTATTTTAGCTTAGAATTTAGAAGGTACCTTACTAGCCTTAACTAGCTTAATAGAGACTAGAAGTACTACCTTAGCTACTATATAAGATTTTATATTATTTACTTTCTTTATACTATTAATAAGGCTTATTTTAGTATACTATATATTAAAAATTCTTTATAGAGTAGAATAAAGGCGCTACTTACTATAGTAAGCTAGGCTAAGTATTTTAAGTTATATAATCTACTTATTAGTAAGTAGTCTAAATTAATTCTAAAACGTTTCTAAACTATTCTAAGAAAATACTCTAATACCTATAGCTAAAGAATAGGTAAAAAATAAGAAAAACTTTATTATTACTATAGAATTAAATATACACTATAGTAGTATATCTAGAGCTACCTAGAATATACTAGAATTTTATATAAATACTACAGAATAAGTATATATAAAAAGCTATTACACTAGCCTAAAATATAAGCTTCTAGTTAGTATTAGACTATATATTAAATTAGTTCTAAATTATTTTATAACTAATTTTATATAGCGCTATATAGATAGACTTATAAAATATATAGAAATATAAAATCTATAAAAAGTATAGTATTAGGTATAAATTAAAGTAAAATTTAAGCCTAAGTAGCTACTTTTATAATAATATAAGGTAAGAAAAGAGTAAGTATTTAGTTATCTATATATAGATTAATTCTAAACTATTTAGAGCGTAAGAAATAAGAGAAAGAAAATAAAGAGAAAGATAATATTCTTAAATTACTTAAATTACCTAGGCTATTAAGATAGTAACCTTACTAGCGTCTAAGCTTCTAGCTAGCAGCGCAGCGCTCGCGTATATAGATATTCTAGTTATTATCTTTAGCCTTATTCTCTTTTAGAGCTAATTTATTACTAGCTCTATAAGTATAACTATTTCTAGATTAATTTAGAACTAATCTACGTAGAGAATACTCTAACCTAGATATAGACTTAGAAGAAAAGAAGTAAGAGCTTAAAAAAGAGTATAAAAGAGTAAAACTTTAATAAGAAAAAAGGTTACTTTAAATCTAAACTAAGAAGACTAAGTTAGAGCTCTAAGAAAAGAAGCTATAGATTTACCTCTAGTATAAATTAATCTAGAACTAGTTAAGAGAAAACTAGACTAGTCTTAGAATAGTTAGTATAATTAAAGAGTTTTTAGCGCTAGATAAAATCTACTAAAATCTATCTTACTTTCTAATTCTATCTTTTCTATATTAAACATAGTAAGTAGAGTTCTTTCTAATAAAGTTTATCTCTATCTAACTAATTCTAAATTAATTACTAACTATTCTAGCCTATATATACTTAATATACTACTTTTACTACACTTCTACGTAGCTCTATAGAGTTTAACCTTAAGAACTTAGAGAGAAGATATATTATCTTCTATAGAGAACTCTTCTATTACGTAAAGTATAATAAAAGCTTCTTAAGTCTCTATAGTGTAAGTCTAATAGTTATTTAGAGCTCTTTATAGATTAATTCTAAACTAATTCTAGTAGCGCTATAAAAGAAGATTAAACCTTATTAAATATATTTATAAAATCTACCTCTAGTACTTTATTACGCTAAATTCTGCTAGTGTAATACTTCTATAAACGTACTACGCTACCTATTACTTCTTTTAAGAAGTAATAAAGCGCTATAATAACTCTAGAGTAGTAGAAGAAAATACTATTACTAAGAAGTAGATTTAAAATAAACTTTAGAATTATTCTCTAATTAATCTAGAGCTAATTTAACCTACTACTTAACTAGCTATCTTCTCTACTAAACTCTTATTAGAGGTACTACGCTTTATATCTTTAAATAAGCAAAAAAAATAAAAAAAAAGTAAAATTAATTTCTAATTAGTTTACTACCTACTACTTAAAAATAATAAGTCTTTGCTATATAAATTCTACTAAAGTAGAAGATTTAAATATAAGCCTCTTTTTGCTATTTAAACTTTAATTAATATATATTTTACTTACTA